TGCATTCCTTTGAGCAATAAAACCAGTGATATCAGCCTTGGTTGCCATGGAACCAGAGGCCTGTTCTGCTTTCCTGAGGTGTTACGCATTTCGGGGGAAGGGTCCATAGGTCCTCATATGGCTTGTTAACTGAGGGGTGTTACAGAGTATTTGTTAAATCAAATGAAAAATTGTGTGTTTGATTGGTCCAGACGCTACAGAGGCTTGTGTCAACGTAATACAGGTGACAGGAGAATTGCTCATCTGAGCGTATGTCCGTAGTCCCATCGGCAGTAAGACCATATGGACAGCTCGCAGCCCCGAGAGACAATTTCACGCTGAACAGCATGTGCAAGACGTTCTAGAATTTCATTCTGTATTGTGTCAGACATCCAATTGTCTCTCTTAAGCAGCCATTCACGAGCTGCTGGTGACGAATGCGTACGTTCAAGCATAAGCTGCCAAAATACGCCATCACGATGAGACCGGCCTCTCACAGGCAGACCCTCTCGAGCTAAAAATTTAAGCGATCTAAAGGCCAGCTCCAAAACTGTCCTGGCAGTGTTTCGTTCTTTTGCTATCAAGTCTGAGAGCAGAGCATTTATGGGCGTGCTGTTCAATGCGGCCATTTTATTTACCGCTTCCAAATGAAAATGTGATTTCTCGTGTTCTCTGAATTTTTCTCCCGCCTTCCGCCAATTCGTAAAGCCTGCTTTCACAAATGCAGTCTACCCTTATTTGTTCATCATTAATTAGCTTCTTCTGTACGGCAGAGCAGCAAATAAAACATAAGGCTTTGTCCGTATCCTTTATATAATGAAGCCATTTCCACCTCAAAAACCAGCCTGCTTTAAAGCTTCTAACAAAGGTTTCATTTCCAAAGTGCCTCGTTGGAAAATCATAATTCATTGGCTGAAACGGTTCGTTTTCTACACCTTTAGCTGGCTCTATGTTATCTGAAGGGGAGTCCGGAGGAGAGATATGCAGGAGCTGATCAATCTCGGGTGTTGGGCTGCTGGGTCCGCTAGGTTTACTTGTCTCTGTGTTCGTGCTGGAGCTGGTTCCCTTGCTTACGTCGGTGCTCATGCTGGGGCTGGTGTGGATGCCAATTTTGGAAAGTTTTTGCTGGGATGGGCATTTAAAAAAATCGGAAATTCGCTTTTGCGCCATTATCTCCTAGTTGTAAAGTTAATCTTGTTCGCATTCTGTATAGTTCATGTGTGATACCGCGCGCCAGCATCACGTCACGTGTTTATGAGGACTATGATAGGCTAATCCCATATAGAAAACATCACAAGTAAAATTAATCATGTTTATAAAGGTAAGCGTGGGTTTATTATAGCCCACCTACAATTTACATTTCAGAGATCATTACAAATAAATTATTAAATGATAAAACTGAATAAATTTTAAATGAACAAATTTGGAGTTGCATTTGCAACCCTGTGAAAACAGGGGGTGCTGCAGCCCCCCCAGCACCCCTACTTCCCACGTCCCTGTTTCTGACTGATTTCTGCACTGACTTTAGACTGGTGTCTTTGTGATTTTTGGTTGCTGTTTGAAGTCAGTTCTCTTAAGTAAATATCTAGACTATAATACATACCAGCTGCTGGGAAAGTTCAGTGATCATCCTGTCTTTGCTTCTGAGCTCATTTCTCAGTTCTTGAACCTCTTTCAGGAGCAGCACCACCTAGAAAATAACAGAAGACAAGATAAACCTGTATCTTTTTTGGTCAATCAGAAGCTTTTTGCTTAGTCATATGCGATCAATTATTAGCCTAACATGATTATTTATTATTATTATTTGTTTTGAGGTGAGTTGGCTCTGCTGTTGGTGTATTAAATATGTAAGCTCATTTAAATAAAGCTCTTGCTTCAGTCAGAGCTGTTGGCTCAATCAGATGTCCCAATTCTCATAAACATGGCTGTTACAAACAATGTTTCAAAACAGTTATCATTAACTAAAACTATTAAACAAATTTTTGTTAATTGAAATAAAGCACAAAAAAAAGGAAATAAAGAAATAAGATATACAGATGAAAAACATAAACTAAAATAAAATTAGAAATGTTTACTAACTGAAATTAGTTTAAGTTAAAGCACTAAAATTACTCAATGGAAATAACAACAAAATTCAACAGGAAAAAAGCACATAACAAATTTACTAAAAAATTAAAGATCAAAATGAAAACGTAAATAAAAAATATAAAAAAATGATCATTCAAAATATTAATAAAAACTATAATAGCATATAAATAATACTAAAAAAACAACACTTTTATAATAAAATAACAAAATAGTTCAGTGCTAAATATGCAGAAAAGCTGATATGCTAAGCTCCATCTAAAACTACTTGAAACAGCATTTTTCTTATTTTACTAAAATTATTATGCATGTAGTTGTCATTATTTAATATTGAGAGAGTTAAAAATTGGATTACACATTGTAAAAAAAGAAAAAAGAAAAGAAAGAAACAATGACCACATAAAATACTTTCCTTTCCAAAATGAATACATTTTAATATAAATATTTGTTAATGAAAGTATATGTCCATTTGACAACTACCGTATGCACCTATCTTTCTCCATGTGATTCAAAAATAAAAATAAAAAATTGGTCCCCTTTATATTAGGTGTCTAAATACTATGTATACCGTTTTATTGTGTACAGCTTATTGTGTTCATGTTGTATTGCAAATCACTCTTGCTGCTATTGACGTGGGATACAGGTAAGGTTAAGGACAGGTTTAGCTGTATAGTTAGGATTAAGGGTGGGTTACAGGGTAGAAATTGGTTCAAAAGTGTAATCACAAATGTAATTACAGATGTTTATTACAGACGTTAATTTAAGTACAATATAAAAACATGTATGTAATAAGTACTTTGTATCAAATGATTAATGTCAATGTTAGCACATCTCAGTTAAAGACAATATAAAGTGGGTCCAACTCTTTTTTTTTTTTCCTGAAACACAGAATTAATATGACAGAGTCATGTCTTTCAAAAAACTGAGCAGCATCTCACAAGAACCAGGTTCAAAAAGATTCAAACCACATAATTAGATTGCACTCCACAGGCTTGCATGAAGACAGAACATCATAGTTTATTTCCGCTATATTCAAAATCTCACGGGGACTGTGTGAAATACCCTAAGTATGATTATTCATATTTTCTCTAATAAACTGAATAAGTAGTATTGCATTTCTATGGATGAAAAAATGATATTACGGAGCTGGAAGGATCTGGACAATTATTATTACGCTCAAAAATGTAAATATGAAATATGGCTTTAAACACATGGTTACCCTTTTGCAAACCCCACTTGAAAAAGTAAAATGTCTGAGATATAAGGAAGAACAAGAACTTTAAATAAGACAGTAACAAGCTCTTACCTTCTGATCAAGTAAAGATTGGTCATTGGATTCTGGAGTATGAGCCTCTAAAGTATCTTCAACTGAACCATCTGTCTCCATCTAAAACAAACCACATACCAAAATCAATCTTGTAGTTCTGCAGTTGAGCCATATGTTATATTGTTAAAGTTCCTCAGGGTATAGAGGTGGTTACACTAGACTTTTTTTGGTCCCACTTTATATTAAGTGGCCCTAATACCTGTGTACTTACATAGTAACTAGATGTGTACGTAGTATCTAACCACAGTGTAAGTACACTTTGGTACATATTATCTAGAGCTGTAATATTTCTGTAACTACACACATGTAACAACCCTCCGAATGGTTTGTGTAAGTACAAATGTGTAACAGGACATATATAACTACATTTTGTAACAACAATATGTATAAGAGTAATTGGAGCAATTTGATCCAGGGGGTGGAGATGGGTAGGTTTAGGGGTGGAAATGGGATCCAGGGGGTGGAAATGGGTAGGTTTAGGGATATGTAAAGTGGGAAGGGTTGGATCTCAAGTTGGTGGAGTTGGTGCACCACTGTAATACCAGTGTACTTACATGGTAACTCCTCAGGAACTGTCCACTTAATATAAAGTGTAACATTCTGGACACCAACCACAATTTATATGTAAAGCCTAACTTACTGGCCGCTGCTGTGTAACATCAGAGTAATTACATGGTAAATCTAATATAAAGTGTAACACTTTCTTTACCAAAAAGTGCTGTTAGTCCTGTTACACATTTGTACTTTCATTACCAAAAAGTGTTGTTACCAATGTCCTGTTACACA